AAAAAAAAAAAAAAAAAGTCTCTACAGGGAAGCCACGGCCCAGCTGGAGCACAGTGGCACAATCTCAGCTCACTACAATCTCTGCCTCCTGGGTTCAAGCCATTCTCCTGCCTCAGCCTCTTGAGTAGCTGGGACTATAGGTGCCCACCACCACATCCAGCTAATTTTTTCTATTTTTAGTAGAGACAGGGTTTCACCATGTCAGCTAGACTAGTCTCAAACTCCCAACCTCAGGTGATCCACCTGCCTCGGCCTCCCAAAGTGCTGGGATTACAGGCATTAGCCACCACGCCCAACCAAGCCTCAGTAACTTTTAAAGCTTTGCATGCAATTTCAATGTGCAGGCAAGGTTGAGGCACCCTGGGGCTGGAGCAGAGCTTCTCCATGTCTAGTGCACAGATGCCTGTTTCAGATGCACCAGGGTAGCTGGCTAAACATGAGGTGGCACCAGGTAGCATCCAGACCCTCTAAATCAGACTCTAGGCTGGAGCCCTTTAACCTGTGGCCCAGTGATTCTGACCAAGCTCTGTTCAGCCAGGCAGGGCTGATGACACAGGCCCAGTGGCTCTGGCTCCAGCAGGTGGCCAGAGGGAACAGGCAGCTCAAATACATAAGACAAAATGGCTCTTAAGAACACACATTAGACATCCTCCAGGGCACACACAGTCAGAAAGGGGCCCAACCAGCTGCACAGAAGCCTGTTCCTTTGCATTCAGGTTGGAGGCACCCAGAGAAACCTGGGCAATGTTAGTACCTTACCCAAGTGCCAGATCTGGCAAGGGAAGAGTTAGAATTCACATCCAGGCCCCTTCTCATGACTTCTGATGAACCCTCAGTGACACCTGACATAAACACCAGGTTACAGTGGGCCATCTCACCTCACCCCACTAAAGTCTCCCCAGCGACTAGAACTCTGTCAGCTGGCAGAGAAGTTTCCTCTTGCCTTGATCCTAATGCGTATCCAGGAAATACGAGGCCACCCTCCCATCCTGGGTCCCTGCCAGCCCACTCCTTTAGAGCCCCAAAGTACAAAATGAACCCAAGGGAATGAACAAAAGGGCATGAAAAGACCCCATTAGGGCACTAATGGATTTAATTTTGTACTGTTCTTTAAAGAAAACTTTTCCTCTTCCTAGATATATAAAAAGAGCTCAACTTAGACATCATTCTACATAGCCTTTTTTCTTTCCTGTTCATTGCAAGCATTTTAACAGGTTGTTCAGATAAGCCCTTCTCCCAGAAACTTGTTCCTATTCCCAGCATGAAATCCTGAAGAGTTGGTGAATGTCAGACCCTGAATGAGCTCAGCCAATCTGCCCTCCAGTTTAGAGCAAGCAACGCAGGAAGAATCTCACAAAGTTCCCCTGAAATGGAAGGGGGAACAGGAAGCAAGCAAAGGAAGTCTTTACATTTCTTTTTAAAGTGATGTCTAAAAATATTATAAGAGGAGTGCATGCCCATTGAAGAAAATAGAGAAAATCAAAAAGGAGAAACTATCAACCATAATCCCAATACTAAGAGATGAACCCACATCTGTAATTCCAGCACTCTGGGAGACCAAGGCCGGTGAATCATGAGGTCAGGAGTTCGAGACCAGCCTGGCCAACATGGTGAAACCCCATCTCTACTAAAATAATACATTAATACATTAATTACCATCCAGCCCAACTTGGCATTTCCCGCCCCTTCTATGGCACTCACTGCCATATCCTTCTAATTTCAACAAGCTTCCATTGGTCTCAAGCATTTCAATCTTCTCTGTGTGATTTCACTACTTCCTGAGAGCTCTCCATCACTCTGAGTACCCTGAGGGCCTGCCCACACTGTCTACCCTCTGCAGATCCCAAGGTACTCCTGCCACCCCAGCCAAGCCACCCCCTTCCCAGCCACAGGAGCTAAGGACTTCCAGTTCCCTTAAGGAAATGAGCCTTGGATGGTGACCAAAATATTGCTCCCTACCCCAGCCACCTAAAGCACCCAACATCCCCGTGGACACTAACCTGATCCTCCTTCGACCTTCAACCTCACACCAGTCACAGCTCCAGCCCAGAGCCAGCATCTCAAAGCCACCTTGATGGCTGAACCCACATCTGTGGACCCTCATGGATTCTCTCTGATCCCCTGCCCACCCATCATTCTCAACACTATGGGGAGACGGTGGTGGTGGGCAGAAGTTCTCTCACATCTGGGCTACCCAACCCGAGAGGAAACTGACCTACCCTACAACACAATGAGCGTTTTCAAATGCTTTCACAATCATCCCTTAAGCTTTAACAGCCCAAGTTTACCTGAAGGATACAAATACTTGTGTGTGGCCGGGCATGGTGGCTCACACCTGTAATCCAAGCACTTTGGAGGCCAAGGTGGGCGGATCACCTGAGGTCGGGAGTTCAAGACCAGCCTGACCAACATGGTGAAACCCCATCTTTAAAAAAAAAAAAAAAGAAAGAAAAGAAACAAAAACAAATATTTGTGTGCTCCTACCTGTGCAGACTCTGGGGAAAGATACAAGAAATTGGTAACAGAGGTGGTGCCCTCCTGGGAGGGTGACAGTGGGAGGGTGACAGAGTTCCTTCTCCCTGGAGATCCTCTAGTATTTTTGCTTTTTACTCTGCTTCTCTCCTCTTCAAAAAAATAAGTAAAAATTATCCTAGAAAGTACACAAAAAAGAGGGACTTACCACTGATTTTTTCTCTTTTTCCTGTTCTCTATCTATAAAAGAAAGGAAATTAGTTTTTAAACTCGCTTTTAAATAAATCTCCTCTGCCTTAATTTGCTACGTGACCACAAAAACACTAATTTTTCTGCTCATCCCTGGCCTAAAAATATTTCCCATTTTGGGTGCCCTCCGAGGTTGGAGGCACGTACCACCATCTCACCTATGTGCCACCCTGGGCTGTAGCTGCTTGCTCCCCCGCCCCCCCCCCCGACCTCCCCGTGTGCTGGAGTTCTCTCACATAGTACATTATACTTTGCATTTTCCACATGTCATCTGTTTAGATCTTCAGACTGGGTGTTGAGCAAGTGGAAAGGCAGAGCGGCCTCCACTGGCGGTGCACGGGGAAGAGGGGACAGCGGGCGTGGGTTTGGGCCTGGGACCCAGGTGTTCCTCTATGCCCAGGGCGGGCATCGCTGCCCATCCGCCCCACAGGTGGTTCTGAGGCGTCTCTCAACAGCCAGGTGTCGGATGCCAGAACTGGGCTATAAGAATCGCCCGTTTCTGAATGGGTCCCCACTCCCGGGGAGGGCAGGAGAGCGCCGGGAGCGTAACCCCCTCCCCCACGCTGGTACCAGAGTGCGAGGAGAATCGCCTTACGGTACCTCCCAGTCCCCATCGCCCCCAAGGCCGAAAATAGCGGGCCAGGAAACCCGAGTTTGGGACAGAATGTTCAGAGCAGCCCCCGCCCCAGAGGGCAGGGGGTCCATCCTGCTCTTTAAAGCCCCTCTGCCCAACCCGGAACAAGAGCCGGGAGCAGAACCCCAAGGCCTCAGCGCTCGCTGCGGCCTGGCGCCCGGGTACCGGCCAACGGCCGCCACCTCCCCCGCCTCAGCCGAGACGGAAATCTCGCGCCTTGGAGGAGGTGTTTCGGGCTCGGGCGGGTTCCCAGAGCCGAGGGGCGGGGAGTAGGGGGGCGCTTAGGGGCTCCTGGGAGGCGGGACCAAGACGCGCGTTACCCGGAGGCCAGGCCCCACGGTGCACCCTCCGCGGCCTGGAGCCTGACGCCGGGCTCCTGGCGCTCCCCTTCCCCAGGCAGCGCAGCGCCCCGGCGGCCCAGCCCTGCAGTGGCCGCAGCAGCATAGCCGGGCGAGCGGATCCAGAGGCCTCGGCTTCCTTCCTGCGCGAGTCGACGCGGGCGACTGCTAGTCCAGCCCTGGCGCGCCGCCTGGATTCCAGCGCCTGGCCCTTAAAGAGACCAGGTCGCATTTCAGCTTCTCAGAGAGAGGGGGAATACTCTCCAAGGGAGAGGTTCGCCGCTGGCAGCCAGAAGCCTTCCCACGGCTGGGACGCTGGCAGAACGCACCCATAACTTGGCAACACTCGGAGAATGGATGGCAAATAATACCAGTGACTGACTGGTTGATTAATGATTACGGATTACTTAATTGAACACCTTCTGTAATCAGATACCTGGCACACATTCACTCGTGATGTCATTTATTCCTCCCAACAACCCTGCAAAGAGATTTTTGTCTCTCCCATACTCTGAACTTGTCTTCAGAGAATTCGGTTACTTGTTCAAAATGCTCAGAAGCAACAGATAGAACTTGCTCTACTCTTTCCCCCCTTCTCACTCCTGCACTTGACTAGTCTTTTTTTAAAAATACATTTTTTAGCCTGGGGCGGTGACTCAAGCCTGTAATCCCAGCACTTTGGCAGGCCAAGGAAGGCAGATCGCTTGAAGCCAGGAGTTCGAGACCAGCCTTGGCCAACATGGCGAAAACCCGTCTCTACTAAAAATGCGAAAATTAGCTGGGTGTGGTGGCGGGCACCTGTAATCCCAGCTACTCAGGAGGCTGAGGCATGAGAATCATCTGGGAGGCGGAGGTTGCAGTGAGCTGAGATTGCGCCACTGCACTCCAGCCTAGGCTACAGAG